TGCCACATTCAAGCCAACCTGGAAAGTTCCCACAGGTACATATGAAGAGTTCATTTTTGAACTGGTTTGTGCAAATTTTTGAGGTACATATCAAGTGTCATTTGAAATTTTGTTCTAGAATGACCATTTTTATCAAGCTTGAGTATTTTAAGTTCAGTAATTTCACTTAAATGACAATTAATAGGTAATCTTCATTGCCGTTTAAGTGAAATTACTGAACTTAAATATACAATCTTGATAAAAATGATCATTTTAGAAAAAAATTTAAAATGGCACTTAGAGGCTTTTGCATCTGAACTCTTCATATCATTTTAAAACTATGACATGGCAGGCATTCAGGTGATTTTGGTCAATTGATTGTGAAATTCTTTCCCATTCTGACATTCAGTTTGGAGTTCAGGAGATTGTCTTGACCAGGACCACACCCCTAAATGCACTGAAGCAACTGCCATGTGATTGGTTGATTAGATAATTGCATTAAATTGAACAGGTGTTCCTAATAATCCTTTAGGTGAGTGTATTTATAAAGCACAAATAAACACAACAGAAGTTGACCACTGTGACCACCATTTGCCCAATTCTGAATGTGATGTTTTATCGCAGTTCGAATTAGCGATGCTACTTTTAGGATACACACTGCCATGCACTTAACACTTGCATGGATAACCACAATATGTGTACAGAACAAGATTATGAAGAGGAGTGACAACAGTATGTAGCCACATTATGTACGTGGACTTAGTTAATAACTCTCCAACCAACCCGGTCTCATCCCAAGACGTCATATAACTGACGTTTTGGGACGTCTTTTGACCATACGTCAATATTCGCCTTTTTAGGGCCCCCTTAAACGTCGGTAGATGAGGTTATGGGATCCTAACTCTACCCCAGACCTAAACCTAACCCTAAACCTAACCCGTCACCTAACTGACGTTAAAGGTAAAGCGTCAGTTGTATGACGGCCCGGGATCGCCATCTACCGACGTTTAAGGGGGCCCTAAAAAGGCGGATATTGACGTATGGTCAAAAGACGTCCCAAAACGTCAGTTTTATGACTTTTTGGGATGAGACTGTGTTACTCCAACATTGTTGTGCACTACAGACCTGTTTCTGTCTAAGATCTCACAGCTGAAAATGACAACGCACTCAGGAGCAACTCTGTTGTCGAGTTTGCTGTGTCACAGAATCTGCGGCTTAAACAGCAAAGCTCTAGTGTTGGCAACTTTAGATAAGTGCTCATTTCCCCTGTGTGAAAACACAATGCTGGACCCTCGTGAGATGTGAACACTATATCTCTTAATTGGCTGAGCCTTGCGTTCTTTAAATCTTAAACCTCCTGAAGTGTCTAGGAAAGGGGGAATGGAAAGAGGGGGAAGGATAAAGGGGCGCTGTTGCCACTCCCGAGGGCTTTAGACCCGTCTGCTGAGACAGAGGGAGAGTGTTCACCTTTACCACATTTACTTAGCCTAGGGTTGTTCAAAATACCAAAAAATAAATAAATAAATAAATAAAAATTCACAATATCAACCAAAACCTGTCCAGATGTGCTGAGAACGTAAGAAGCCAACTAGTGACCATCATACCAGTACAAGTTTGTCCTGTCCAAGAACACAGTCCTTAAGGCCTGTTCACACCGGGACTAATTTCGCGCTCGTTATTCGTCGACGTTTAACGCCTCGTGACTAAACAATGGGCGCCAATGTGAGTGTTCACACCGACGCGAAAAACGCAACGCGTAAAAGCGTCATTTTAAAAAAAACGCCTCGGGTTCGTTTTTTGTCGTTCGTCTGCTAAGACAGAGGGAGTGTGTTCACCTTTACCATATTTACTTAGCCTGGGTTTCCCCATTCTGCCTTGGCGCAGTCTGGATACCAAACCAAATTTTCCCCTGAAATAGGGAACCAATCACAGAACGGGGAGGGAGCACAGGCGCATTTGATAGACATTCGATAGACATTCGTAGCACCCAATAATACGGCTCTGGGCATTCGTGAACCACGTCTCAAATACGAGAAAATTTACATGTGGTTTCCAGACCGCGTTTCATTCTCAATGGTCTACTACGTGGTCTGGCGTTAGCCAGGCTAACATTTACTTGGATTATACGCCTTATTCACAGCAGCGCCATCTTTGATTTTCAATGAAATGAAAGGCTGTGAGGGATATACAAACATCTGTTTAATGGGCTGTACTGTTATTTAATGTGTTTTCGGATTGTTCTGCTCATGAAACAGTGGAAAAATATCTTTCCAAGAAATTTTAGCATTTCATTTAAGCACTACTTTATGAGTATCATCAACTGCATTGAAAGAAAACAATATACAAGCACTGTAAAAGGTTTTTATTGACTTGCGTTTCTGCTGTTTGATTTCACACGAGTCTCTTCAGACCTTACAGTACAAGAGCTTCCAGAACTTCTGACTGAGGCTGTGTGTGACCTCCTAACTGAACTAGTGCAAACAAGAAGTGCAAGTGCAACCATAATCAAAGTTAGCACACAGACTCTTTATAATTGTTTTGAAATTGCTGTTTTATTTTGCACCGACAGTTATAGGGTTAGTACCATAGATATGTATATAAAGGCTAGATATGTCGTCCACGCTGCTGGCCAATGGAGGTCGACGGCTGCACCTGGCGGCCATCTTGTCACAGGCAGCTCGTTCACTCGTAACATTGTGGTAATGGTACATGTACTATTTAAATGACCATAACTTGCTCAATTTTCTACCGATTTTCAAACGGTTTGTTTTGTTATAAACGTCAGAGATGTAGCTATGACACTGTACACTTATGAATAAAAAGTGTATAAATGAATAATCATCCAGTTAATTATAGCCACGCTAATAACGTTTGTAAGAAACCAAACCGTTTGTAAATCCGTCAAGATTTCAACGAGATAAGAGTATTTGTGTTCGTGCTGACCACTCATCTTACATCAGCTTGTCTGTGACAAGATGGCCGCCGGTGATGACGATAGAAACTCCGCCGTAACACATCTAGCCTTTATATACATATCTATGGTTAGTACGGTGAGTTCAGAAAAGCCCGCATAGAGAGAAACGAGGCTGGTGTGTTTGTCTCTATGTTGTTGTTCTTGTGTTTCAATTATAAGTTCATAAACAGAGCCTCCCTTGCCTTGTCTGTTGTCTTTAAGCCATTACAGTACTCTCTCAATCTCGAAGTGCAAACAGAGACCACAGCCGCAGATAAACAGTCCAGAGATGAGTCTTGAGAGACGGACTATGAAGCCTAATTTGTGTGCAATGCGTTTTACTCTCAAATCGGTGATCGCGCGTACTCTGTGTGTCGGGAGCAGCATTCTACAAGATAAAACATCTATCAGGACGTTTAGTCTATTATAAACATTCGTTTATAATGGTTTTTATTTTTTTTATATAAACAGCAAAACGATAGGCGAATAGGTGAGTGTAGCGGTGGAATATTCTATTGTAATCTCACCGTCACGCTCAGTCATGGCGATATCGCGACGAGACAGCTTTTCACTCAGTCTCGTCATATTTTAGTCTCGCGAGATCTCGTCACACCCCGACTAAACCTCTAACCTAAATTCTATGTCCTGATTGGTTGTTCCAGGATCAACATCTCCTCATCTCCAGCTCTGGTTGAACTGACAGACTTATGCGTTTAAAGTTGTCAAATAGCAGACACTTTTATCCAAAGCGACTTACAAAACATGTATCACACAGACTGCAACCTAGAGTTAAATATCTTGCTCAGGAGCACAGAGATGATGATAGCTCATATCTCGCATTCGGTTGGGATCAAACTAACGGACTTCTGATTATCTGTCATAAGCTAACGGGGCTAGCTACAACTAACATGTTTTAAAAGTTTCCACACATGCTAGCGTGAGATAAAACGTTTATTTATTTATCTACTTATTTACTAGTTGCCATAACAACACTATATAGAGTGAAAAAAATTCAAGAATTTTTGGAAAGAGATCACTGAACATGTATTTAACCATAGCAAAAGTACATTTCTTTCTAAAGTTAGTTTTTAGAGTTACTTTAAAATCAAATAAATCTGCTATTATTTTAAACTACACTGTAAACAAAATATTTTCAAGATTTGTTATCACAACATATTTTCTTTTGTCAAATCAACTTAAATAATTTATTTAGTTGAGATAACTTATTATTTTGAGTTTCTGATGATTAAATTAATCGCCTTCATTGTATTAACTCACTTTTTCCAGTTCAGTCAATTTAAAATTTTAAGGCAACCCAGGTTACTTACTTTTTTAAGTTAAACCAACAATATTTTTTACAGTGTATGACAATCCATGAATTTAGAGATAACTATGAATGTGGCAGTTGTCCCTTTGGGGCTGACGCCTTACTTCTGTTTTGTTGTTTGTTTTATTATTAAAGCTTATGTTACATTGTTAACACAGACAGCAACATAGAGTCGGGCCAGATCCGGGCCACATCTGGTACATGCCACACTGTAAAAGATATTTTCAAGATTTGTTATCACAACATATTTTCTTTTGTCAAATCAACTTTATAATAATTTATTTAGTTGAGATAACTTCTTATTTTGAGTTTCTGATGGTTAAATCAATCTACTCCATTGCATTAACTCACTTTTTCCAGTTCAATCGACTTAAAATTTTAAGGCAACCCAGGTTACTTACTTTTTTAAGTTAAACCAACAATATTTTTTACATTATAGTAATCACAACATGTTTTCTTTTGTCAAATCAACTTAAATAATTTATTTAGTTCAGATAACATATCATTTTGAGTTTCTGATGGTTAAATTAATCTCCTTCATTGTATTAACTCACTTTCAGTTCAATGAACTTAAAATTTTAAGGCAACCAGGTTACTTACTTTTTTAAGTTAAACCATCAATATTTTTTTCACAGTGCAATCACCCACTGTATACCCCCAGAAACGTTTGTTTCCTCATGAGTATAACTTGTCATTTTGCAGATGAGTGTGTATCTACTGTACACTAGTGTATCCTCATACCGTTTTTGGTTCATAAGCAACTCCCGATGAAGCTCCTGGTGGCTTTTAGAGGCTTTCACGGGATTAATCAGCTTTTTAGGCTTGATGAGATCATCATCCACTGTCATGTAATCAGGCTGAGGAGCGTAACTGGCCAATGGGGGGATCTCGCGATGAGGGTAACCGAATGGATCCCTGTCCGGGGTTCTCGGCTGATGAGGCTGTTCCCATTGAATATCGGCGTACGCTGAGGCTGAGGACAGAGAGAAAACAATGGGAGAGGAAGGATTTTATTGAAAGGAAGTTACGTTTTCCTTCCTGACTTCTTTTAACTGTGAGAAGAAAGGCAGAGATTGACGCAAAAGAAGAACATAATAAACCGCAGTAAGTGGGGTGGTGGAACATACACAACCCAGCATTTACATTCACTACTGGTCTCTGCTTCATGTGAGCCGAAGCAGGTTTCCTGAAAGTAGCAGGTGGACATTCGTTCCTTTGGGTTTGGGAGGAAATTCCTTACCTTCATTTCCTCCAGCTATTTGGAGAATTTTTACACCACCAGACGTCTAACACACACAGACGACGCACTGATGCAAATGACCCCAAAGATGCAAAACTTTTTTGTTCTTGTTCCCCTGATATTGAAAGAAAGAAATATTTAGCTTAAAGAAAATTGAGTAGTATGAGGTTATTAAATGGTACTGGTTCAGACAAGTTTGTAATCCATCACCACCAGTAAAGAACAAACTTGTACCCAGATCCATAATGCAAGCCAGCTCGCCTGCATAAAGACACTCCTCTCAGGATAGGACAGATTAAAAGTGCAGTGATCCGTGCGAAAGTGACAGCAGATCAGGTGTCATATGCATTGAAGCTTGCTCAGGACAATGCTACTCTTGGAGGAGGAACCAGAGACAGTCTCCACCATTCAATATTAAAAAAGCTGAGCTCAATTCTTAGCACTTCTCAATCAGAGTGCATGAGAAGAGGACGGGGTGAACTGATGATGATGATGATGAAGGGAATTCAGAGGTTAGCAAGTTTACACCAAAGATTTATTTTAAACACGTAAATAAAGCTTTCCGTCCTTTTTTAAAACCTATATTCTAAGAATTAAAGGAGTTGTTCACTTTTTTTTTAAACAACTTTTGCTGATAATTTACTCACCCCCGTTTCATCCAAGATGTCCATGTCTTTCTTTCTTCAGTCGAAAAGAAATTAAGGTTTTTGATAAAAAACATTCCAGGATTTTTCTCCATATAATGGACTTCAATGGGAACCAAACGGTTTGAGGTCCAAAAGACACTTTCAGTTATCACTCATTTAATAAATAAATAACAAAGTTTAAGTTTTATAAGCTCAAATGCTCGCCTTGCTCTGTTCTGTGATGCAGGTTTGTGACTCTCCTGTCCGAACTCGTTCATCAAAACGAACGAATCTTTTTTCGTGTCATTTGGTTCATTGAACGAACGAAATGAACGACTTTACTCTGGAAGAGATTTGTTCATTTTGATGAACGAGTTCGAACAGGAGAGTCACGAACGCGCAACACAGAACAGAGCAAGGCGACCATTTGAGCTTATAAAACTTAAACTTTGTTATTTATTTATTAAATGCGATCGTTTCGCTAGATAAGACCCTTATTCATCGTCTGGTGCCCTTTGAACAGTTTGCAATGAAACTCTCATTAGGACCTTGAACCGTTTGGTTCCCATTGAAGTCCATTATATGGAGAAAATCCTGGAATGTTTTCATCAAAAACCTTAATTTCTTTTCGACTGAAGAAAGAAAGACATGGACATCTTGGATGACACGGGGGTGAGTAAATTATCAGCAAAGGTTTTTTTTAAAAGTGAACTACTCTTTTAAGATGTAAATTAAGACTATTGTGTCTCTTGTGTTCTATTTCTGATATTCTCAGTTTATTTTATCACTGTTATTGCTCATACTCTCTGTAAGGGAACAAACCATCCAAGTACTATACGTTTCACTTTACTTCATAGCACTTCAGATAAATGATAAGCATGATAAGCATGTATAAACTATGACATGGCAGGCATTCATGATAACACTTTCAGAAAATGAAAAACAAATCTACTTTTAGATCTGCATAAGCTTTATATATTGCACAGTTGACAACTGCTCTCAAATTTGTTGTTTTCACTTCCCCTAATGGCAAAAGATAAACTAAATTTGGCTAAAATATGATTTAAAAATATGCCAAAAGTAAATCTCACACAGTCCATTGGAATAACATCACTGATGGACCTTATTTTGTTCATACTGAATGATGTGGATCCATTAAGAGAGATATTTTGTGTTTATGAGGATTATGAATCCATAAGCACTGGTTGGTCAGAGAGTGTGTTGGCACAGTCTACACAGTACATGGACTTATGTCGGAATAATAAAAAAGTAAATATTTACATAATTATTGCTCAAAAATATCAGTAACACCAACACTATCTCACGACCAATTCGTACGAATTCGACGAATGATTGAAAAGTGTCTAATTCATACGACCTCACTCGTACAAATTTGTACGATTTGTCTAAACCCACGTGATGGTTAGGTTTAGGGGCGGGGTCAGGAGTAGGTCATTCGTATGAATTCATGAGTCGGCCAATTCGTAAAATATGTACGATTTAGCAAAATAGTACTAATTCGTACGAGTGAGGTCGTATGAATTGTTACGATTTAGCCACTTTTTAATCATTCGTCGAATTCGTACGACTTGGTCGTGAGATCGGGTTGGTAACGCTTTACAATAAGGTTTCATTTACAACTTTAGTCAACATGAACTAAGAATGGATATTAATCTATTTTTAACATGTTTATAAATGAACAGCTGTATTTTTATGAACTAACATTAACAAAGATAAATGCAGTAACAAATGTATTGCTCATTGTGAGTTCATGTTGGATAAAACGTTAACTAATATTAACTAATGAACCTTATAGTAAAGTGTTACCAAAAAATATGTCTTGTGAGAGTTCTTGTGATCTGTTAAAGAGTTAAAGCCTGTAACTTCACCACAATATGTTTCATTTTGTTTCCTTTCATGTTTTGTGTTTGCAAATATTGCTTTTTTTGCTAATGAATGTGTTGCAATTTCTGCCTGCTGTTAAACTGAGTAAACTGAGTAAATATGTGTGGCCCACTTCAATGATATGTTGCGTCATAATTCACGGTTATGAAATACAAATGATTTCCGTGTATTTATCCAGAGCTTACAGAAGTCGGGATAAAAGTGCATATACACAAGCTCTATAAATGTATTGCTATAATCTGTGCCTCTGGAAGCCTGTCCTTGATCTCATCGATTAGGGATCAGTAACATGGTGAAGAGCAACAGACGGTGGACTGCGTCTGCTCTGAAAGTGAATATCCCTCTATTACGGGCATAATGTATTTATCAACATCCCCCACAAACCCTGGAGTCACACACACAGGAAAGGCAAGGGCTTCTGCTGATCAGATCGGAGTCTATTTCCAAGAATTGCATGATACATTGTGGGCTTAATTGGATTTTGTGTGGTGTCTGTTTGTGTGGCTAGCAGGTGTTTCCTTATATACCCAACATAACCAAAAGTGACTCAGTAGGACGACTAAAATTAAAAGTGTGCAAATATGCTAACCCCTTCACTCTCAGAAAAAAGGTTCAAAAGTTGTCACTGAGGCTGTACCTTTTCAAAACGTAAACTTTTGTCAATTTTAGGTGCTAAATATGTCCATTTCACGTGCTAATATTTACATTTTAAGTGCTAACATGTACATTTTAGGTGCCAATATTTACATTTTAGGTGCTAATATGTACATTTCATGTGCTAATATGTACATTTCAGGTGTTAATATGTACATTTCAGGTGCTAATATGTACATTTTAGGTCCTAATATGCACATTTAAGGTGCCAGTATTTACATTTTAGGTGCTAATATGTCCATTTCAGGTGCTAATATGTTCATTTTAAGGGCCAATATTTACATTTTAGGTGCTAATATGTACATTTTAGGTAGGGGTGTCACGATTTCGATATTAAATCGAAATCGATCGAAATTAATTCAATGGTATCGAAATCGAAATAAAAAATGGTATCGTCGATACTGCCACGCCCCATGTCGCGTCCGTGATGGAAAGTTCGGATCGTTTTACTGACTCTATTCTTCAATCTCGTTCATCAAAATTAACTAAACTTTTTTTCTAGTCATTTCAGGGGCTTTAAATGTTATACTATTAAGTTATGTTACTTTTTTTTGTTATATTTTAAATTTGGCAATGGTGTAGTGTACATTGTGAACAAATTTATATTGCATAATGCATAAATGTGTAGTCTAAAAATTGCATAGCAATCTGCGCTTTACTTTTTTTTTTAAATCGAGAATCGAATCGAATCGTGACCTTAGAATCGATAACTTAATCGAATCGAGGATTTGGAGAATCGTGACACCCCTAATTTTAGGTGCTAATATGTACATTTTAGGTACTAATATGTCCATTTCAGGTGCTAATATGTACATTTTAAGGGCCAATATTTACATTTCAGGTGCTAAATGTACATTTTAGGTACTAATATGCACATTTCAGTTGCCAATATGTACATTTTAGGTGCCAGTATTTACATTTTAGGTGCTAATACGTCCATTTCAGGTGCTAATATGTACATTTTAGGTGTTAATATGTACATTTTATGTGCTAATATTGTTCTTTTAGGCACTAATATGTCCATTTTAGGTCCTAATATGTACCACTAAGGTACCAATATGCAGCCTTTAGGTACAAAAGTGTAGCTTTTGAAAGGGTACAGCCCCAGTGACAGCTTCTGTACCTTTTTTTCTGAGAGTGTTCAAGGAAGTACAGTACCAACTTTGAAATACAATGACCCTTAAAAAAGTATTTGGACACTTTTGATCATTTCAAAAATGCATTGCTTTAGATAACAAAACACCAGACGAAGTGGCAAAATGCCATAAATGACGCTTTCAGAACTGCGCTTTTCTGATATTTAGTGGATGTATGGAGTCATTTCCCCTCAGAATCCACACAGGTGTCCTAGCAGAGTATTTTGAAGAGGGTTTAGCTTATTTTAGCATTTAAAAAGAACAAACTTCACAAAACATTCTGAAATGTGCCTTAAGAATTCATTTCGGATTACATGAAAAAAACAAAAAAACAAGTTAAAGGTGTTTTATCCTATCAGACATTCTTCTTTCATCCAAACACCGTCAGAGTTATATTAAAAACATATCCAGG